GAGAGCACTAGGATTACAGGTGTGAGCCACCACACCCAGCCCAGCTCGGTCATTTTTGACATTAGAAATTGTAGGTTTATAACGTGCTTAGTAGAATGATGAATAAAATCAATTTTCAGAAAGCATAATTAATATAAATACTGTCTCCCCAGTCACTGACTCCCAAAATTATCTGCATGGACATTTATACAGCCTTGCTCCCTCCCTCCTTTCCCAAAGGCAGAGGTGTACTTCCTGACCTGGGACAAAAGCCTCTGCTGGGACCACCACATTCATCCCTGAGTTCCTTTATTCACTCTGTGTCTTCTGGCTTTCCCTCTCGCTGGCTTTCCACCCTGGGTAAAAACATGTTCCAGTCTCTTTCATTTTGCACCAACCAGCCAACCAGCCAATCAGCTGACCAGCCAACCAGCTGACCAGCCAATGAACAAGCACAATTCCTCCTTACTGTTCTCTCCTTTTTCTTTCTGACTCTTTCACTAACCCTGTGGAATTCACTGGACACTTTCAAGTTCTTTTCTTTTTTTTTTTATTACTTTAAAAAACTCCCACCTCCTCAGAGATGGAGTCATGCTGTGTCCCAGTTTGGCCTCAAGCCCCCCTCCCAAGTAGCTGGGTCATCAGCGGCCGCCCAGCTCCGGGTGTTCTAGCTTCTCTCTTGTTAGACGTATTTGTTCCCTTTACTTCTTCCTCTTTCTTGACATTCTTTCCTCCTTTGCTCACCTTGATGTTGTCCTGGCTTTGCCTTCTCTGTCTTCATGGACTTCTCTTTCTCTGCTGTTTAACTTAAACAATTCTTTTCTTATTTTGAAATCTGTGCTCTTCTTTGACAATCTCATTCATATCCGTGATTTTAATTATGACTGTGTACTGATAATGTCTAAATCAAAGCACACATGGAACTTTAGGAAAGAAGCAGCATATAAATGAATGAACACCATGAAGTGCAAATATGTGTCCCCGCCAATTTCTCCTGGAAACTCCTGACTTGTATCCACCACCTTGGCCACCACCAATATATTGTCCTGCAGACAACTTAGCTCACTGTGGCCTGTCCTAACCTTACAGTTCTGTGAATTGGCTGCCCTTCCCCGCACATACAGTAATGTGTGTAACCTCTACCCTAACACATCACATTTTATTGAAGTTATGAATTTGCTTCATTTGACTTTCCATTTGATGATGAAAACCTAAGAAATAGAAATATGTCTTTTGTTTCTGTATTCCTAGTGCTTACAACACCATGGATCACATATAATGATGTAATAAATGATCGTTGAATGGGTGAATGGGGGACAGATGGCTGCTTGCAGCTCCAGGTTGACATTCTGTCATCTCAGTCAATCCCATGGGAAGCATCATCCTTTCCTAGTAGTTGGAGCATAAGTGCTGAGTTCATGCTTCTCAAAAGGTCTCTGGACATGTACTGATTACCAAATTAATCACCATAACTAGAGAGTTGCAAGACTCTGACTGCCCAGGTCTGAATTTTGTGCCAATTCTTAGGGCAAGGAATGAAAGCAATTCCACACGTGATATAGAAAGTGAGAGGAGGCAGGGAAGTTCAAAAAGGAAAATTGATGATTTATTGCCAGAAGCCAGAGAGTAGACTTCTGGGCAGGCAAAATGTCAGATAGTCATTGTAAGTGTACACAAACAACCTAGATATTGGGGAAAGCTGGGACCCTTCTTTTCTTGGCTGGGTGAGGCAGCTAGCACCGTCTTCAAGACAACACTTGTCTTTGTATTCGAGGCTCAAATCACACTGAACATAAACCCCACTGATGATGCTCTGGATGTACCAGAACTTCCTTCCCCTCGGAGCCCTTATCATTTCCATCCTTCTGTGGGACATGTTCTCTCTTTCCAAGATAAAGGACTCCTTTCAGGTCTCAGTTGAGACTGCACTTCTGCTGGGAAGCCTTCTCTCACAAGGTTGGACCCCTTTGCGGTACATTCAATTTGATTCTTACTGGCCTCCTGTCCTAACACTTTTCATAAAGCAGATGCTCAATAAATACAATGAATGAAGTACTCCGTTTATTGGTTATTAAACAGGAGCACAAACCATTCTGGCTTCCCTCCATATAGTTTTGGGACTTCATAGCTTTATTAGAGGATCTATGGAGAGTCAGTTCATATAGGAGAAAACACTTTCATTACAGTGAA